TTATTGATTTTTTACAGAGAGGAAGGGAGAGGGATAGAGAGTTAGAAACATTGATAAGAGAGGAACATCGATCAGCTGCCTCCTGCACACTCCCTACTGGGGATGTGCCCGCAACCAAGGTACATGCCCTTGACCAGAATCGAACCTGGGACCCTTGAGTCCCCAGGCCGACGCTCTATCCACTGAGCCAAACTGGTTAGTGCCAAACCCAGTTTTCTTAATGCAAAGTGCTTTGACTAAAGTGGTTTGGTTATTTCATTTTCAAGGACTGAATTAGAAGATGTTTTTGAACTTGAGGGAGGCTTGATATCTGCTATTTCAATGCTTGCGCATTAATATCCTAACACATCAGAAGGTTCTGGAACAAGTAAGTCCTAACACTTCCCTCTGCTTCTTTTATGCCTCCACTGAACTACTTCAGATTGGGATAAGGTTATGCATAACTAATGCCTATATGAAATCAAACCTAGTGAGGCCTGAAGTGCCATCATTACCTCTCATCTTTGAAAATGCCTTTGGCTTGTAGACATACCACAGTACAATAGCATGATACATGGAAGCATGTTCCTGGAGAAGACTGCGTGAGCCTGAATCCCAGCTCCAGCACAGAGTATCTGTATGCTCTTGGGCAAGTTGCTCAATTTCTTTGTGCTTCCGTTTCTCATCTGTACTCAGAAGCGTTCCTAATATATGATAGGCACTATACTATATGGGTTAGCTCTTATCATCATCGCCAGTGTCCCCAACATGAGTGGATGTGGGGGAGAGCACTGAGTGGACCAGCCAAGTGGTGTCATGCAAAGAGTTTAAGATAGAGAGTCAGCAGACCTATCTTCTTGTCCTAACTTTGCCTTCACTTAACTTTGCCATAACAAAGTACCACAGACTGGGTGGCTCACAACAGAAATTTATTTTTTCACAATTCTGGAATCTAGAAGTCCAAGATCATGTCTCCACAGGGTGGTTTCTTCTGGGGCCTCTTTCCTTGGCTTGTAGATGTCCATCTTTTCTCTGTGTCTTCACATGGTCTTTCTTTTGTGCATGGTATCTGTGTCCTAATCTCTTCTTATAAAACCACTAGAGGCCTGGTGCAAGAAATTCATGAACAGGTAGTGTCCCTACACCTGGCCAGTGATCAGGGCCAATCGGGGCCTTCCTTACAACTGCTGGCCGGGGCCTTCCTTCGTTCCTCATTGCCCCCTGGTGGTCAACACATGTCATAGTGAGCGATTGAACTCCTGGTCTCCCAGTCGAACTCCCAAGGGGACGTTTTGCATTATGTGTGTGTGTGTGTGTGTGTATATATTGCAGGAATTCATGCACATTGAAAGGAAATTAATTAGAAGAAATATTTTAGAGGCCATTAGGGGCCATGGGAGGTTGGCTCCAGGGCATGCCCAGCCCATCTTGCCCAGTCCCTATCAGCCAGACCCCAGCAGCAAGCTAATCTACTAGTCGGATTGTCTGCCCCCTGGTGTTCAGTGTGCATCATAGCAACTGGTCGAGCAGTCCACCGAACAGTCGGACACTTAGCATATTAGACTTTTATATATATAGAAGATAAGTCATAATGGATTAGGGCCCTCCCATAAGACCTCATTTTAACTTATCTCTTTAAAGAGCCTACTTCCAAATATAGTCATATTCTGAGGTACTGGGTGTTAAGGTTTCAACATATGACTTTGGGAGTGCAAAATGTAGGCCATAACACTGTGTTATCCTGGGCAAATCACTTTCCCTCTCTGTGACAGTTTTCTTATGGGGCTGAGAGTAGCAGCAAAAACACTAATCTGGAATGTCCCGCTCAGCTTCCATCATGTAATTTCCCCAGCAGAGACTAAGCTCTACCTCTCCAATCCCCATAGCACTATATTTTTTTAAAAAAAAAATCTCTTTTCAATGACATGATTTTCCTAATTCTGCAAATGTATAGTATTGAGTTCCTACTATGTACCAAACACCATTCAGCACTGGGGATTTAATACTGAGCAAGACAAAAACACCTATTCCCTGGCTTTCTGGGGCTTACTGTCCAGCAGCAAATGACATCCTTTAATCAAACAGGCTCACAAATACCGACCTCTTCGAGTCAGCCTTGTCTTCTTGGGTAGGTCTTCTTTCCTCTACTTGGCCATGGGCTCCTGGTGCACATCCATCTCGAGGTCTCTCACCATGCTTTGCACAAGATCTGGCATGTGCTAAAGCCTATAAGAAGTGCTGTCCAAACAAATGAAAAAAATGAAGGAATACAGCTAAAGCAATGGTTTACAAAAGGACATCTAAGGCAGTTCAGCTCCCTAAATCACTCTAAGAAGTACTGACTTCACAGTGCTTCACAATCCTTGGCTTTGAAAAAATATTCCACATTGGGGTTTGCTAATCCATACTGTCACACTATGGATGGCAACTGACTGTGTTTTTTTACTGAACTTTTGATTCTGGCCTTGTTTCTTCGACGACCCTGGAAAGGACAGGGGCATTTTTTTGAAACAGGGGCTTTGGTTATAATTACTTCAACATTGGCATCAAAATGAGCGTTTGAAATGTTAAAACACACACACACACACACACACACACACACACACACACACACCTGTCAGCACAAAGCTTCTCACAGATACCAGTTAGGAAACCCCCCCTGCTCTCTGGTACCAAGCTAGCAGGGCTGGGGTGGGGATGAGTGCTCGCTGGGAACACTTCAGGCAACAAATATTTATTGAGCTCCTAATACGTGCCAAGCACAGGCTAAAACATGTAAGTACAGTCTCTATTCTTCTGCAGTTTCTGCATTTCAAGTCTTTTGGGGAGGCAAATACTGATAGAGGTAGGGGTGTGTGTGTGTGTGTGTGTGTGTGTGTGTGTGTGTGTGTGTGTGTGTTTAAAGAACTAGAGACAATGATAAGTGCTAACAAGAAAAAGTACCAAGAATATAACACAGGGACCACATTAGCCTGGGGGGATAAGGTAGGGTAGAGGCCCTTTTCATAATTTATAACACTAGCTCAAAGGACTTTTCCAATTTCCTCTGTTTATAAATGGGAAAACAGGCTCCAGGAGGGAAGTGACTTGTCCAAGATCACCCTGTAAATTAGTGGTGCAGATAGGATTAGGACACCAGCCCTCAAGCAGCCTCAGATTTGTAACTATAACCAACCTCCCAGCTTCTCACAGCTGGCGGTTGCAAGATGGGTCAGAGATAGCTTAGAAGTCTTGTGCCATCTCTTATCTTCTATCTATGAGAAGCTTCACAGTTAAAAAGTGTGAGTCTTTCCCTTCATTTTATATACAAATCGCCAAGGTCTGGTAATTAAGTTCTCTAAGAACTACAGTTAATATGATCTGGGTGTGGAGATCATGGTGCACACCTCCTATATTTTATTTTATATTTTACCTGCCAGATTAACCAGATTCTTATGGGTGTGTGCGGTGGGGGAGGGAGGAGGCAGAAGGAGAGGGATGGAAAAGCAGGAAGTATTCCTACTATATTTTGCTGGTTGCTATTTTGAGTCTTAGTCACCTGCTTGCAGTCACACATTTAAATACCAACTCCTACGGAAAGTTTTCTGGATGTGTCCAAATTGCAACAGCAAC